AAATCCATTTATATTTATGATATCTGTTACAGATGTTTATGAAAATAATTATCTCTAAGAGTCTTTCAATCCTTTTTACTTTAGATTTTTGAAGAGTTAAACATTTGAATTTAACTTCTCAATATTTGGTAATAAAAGCTCATTAAAGTTGAAACAAAAGTCAGTTTTATTTTTATGTGGTTTTACAAGATGGAATCACTGGTCAATTTATCAACACTTTCAAATATGGTGCAAGCTTTTCTGGAATTGGCAGAAATTTAACATCGCCTACCAAAATGTTTAATGTTAACTTTCTGAAATTAAAAGTTGTAATACTAACATATTTATGAATGGACTGTGTATGGAAACCAAAGGTGTATAAATTGGTTTACTACATGCATAATACTATTTTTATTAAAAGCAAAAGGGGTATAGATTTACTTACTACATGCTTTATGCATAATACTTTTCATTAAAAGTAAAATAAAGTAATAAAGCAACCAGTTAGATCTACTTGGGTATTCAAGTTATTGAATATGCATTTATGGAATTATACATGATATAAAAAATATCATGTCATTAATTAATGAAACATTGTTTTCTATTAATTGTAACATAGTATGCATGTAGAGTAGGAAATATCTATATATATATTGTGGCTTTTAAAATGGATACTGACACTGCTCAAAATGCTGGCAATTGAAACAATTTCAGTCATGTACAATGTCACTGTTAAGAGTGGTATTTAAAGCCTTGAATTAGTTAACATTATCAAATGTTGACTCTACACAAAGTAATTAGCATGTAGTTACCATATCTGATGACACACATTTTACATTTAATAATACAGCATTATGGAATTAGACTAAATACATATGTTGGTAGTCTACAGCATTTGGGTAAACATTAGTCTACTATATACATCAACTTTGCATATAAGACTAGAGGGTTTTGTTTGGAGAGGGGGGTGTTCTTAAATGCCATTAAATCCTGTAATTCAGATGACCTAATCTAAATGAAGAAAAGCTTACCAGTTTTTATTTGCAAAATATAAATATTGATAACATTATCAATTCAAAAATTAGTTTGTTCAATGCAATTGTTTTTTGTTTGTTTTTTCCCGTCTCAAAAGAATTAAGGCAACTTTCATGAAGTTTTTTTTTTTTTTTTATCTCGCTGCTCTTTATTATTTTGTATTAACTTTCTCCTCCTAAGTTTGGAATTAATGACTAATCAGTTTTAGAACCTGGTTACTTCTATATAGTGCTAACACAGTACCAAGTAATATTTCTTCTTTTAATAGCTTATTCTTATAGATGATCGAAGTCTTTGTTTCAAATTGCCTAAAGATGACTAATAACTATAATATAGAAGTGGTAAGTTCAGACATTTTACATGCCTTAACACTTCATTATTGAAATTTGAGACTAGATTGAGGGATTTTGAACCTTGAGACTAGATTGAGGGATTTAAAAACTATTTGTGCACATTTAAAATCTTTGACTTTACATAAAATGTGCAAATATGATTAGAAAATTACCCCATTAACTGAGTGAGTATCATTCCAATCCTGTGGTTTAACAAGTTTCTGCCACAATAAAGAAAATTGATGTTATGGCTGCTTTTTGATATGCAGTTATAAAATGGCAAAGAAAACAAATTTAAGATTAATTTTAGTTTAAAGTTAAATATTTATACTTGTTTATATTCAGTTGTTTTTATTTGTTTATTTTTTCTTTTTGCTAACATAAATTTTCATTCTTTGTTATTTTAACAAAATTCTATTTGGTTTAGAGGTTGGTTTCTTGATATCTTGACTCCAGTCAAGTTTGTTATATTCACTTTTACATGCAAATATCCTTGGGAAAGGTGTGAATCCTTCTTCTCCCACCATCTATGGTTTAAATAGTAGGACTTGTATCTGGAAAAAATCACTTATCCCCCCTCCCCTAATTATTAATGCAATATTTACTCCCCTCTCCTACTAAAGAAAGTATTATACTTACAATCCAAAATATGCTTAGGCTTTAAATAACTCACAAAGGATTGATAAACAATAACATATCTATCAATTTTGATATCTTGCCACTTTGATGTGAGGGCTATGGGAAGTGACGTTCTTTTACTAGTACATACCACAAACATATATACATGTGCATACAGACATACATCCATACATACAAGTGTGTGTGTGTGTGTTATAAGTATATTGATCTGAGATTGTTTTTTATTAAGTGATTCCTACAACTTTTTTTTTCTTCTCTTGTTGATTTACTGTATGAGAAACACTATTACTTTGATACAGCATCATAAATTATTTGAAGGGTAATTTTTACAATTGGGTTGTAACTCTTCTTTTTTATTTCATCGGATATTTGGTAACAGACTACAACTCATTTTCAGTTCTCAAGAACAACTTTTACTTTGACTGCTCTTGTACACGTCTGTTCTTTCAGTCATCTTCTTCATTGAAATAAGAGTTATCTCTTCTAAATATAGTGTGTGTGCGTATATATATATATATATATATATAATACACACATTCATAATGTAGTTTGTTGTATTATAAAAAAATCTACTGTTTGATTTATAATCAAGAATTTTTCTAGTTATCTTACCTGACTTATAACTTGTCCTTGACACTCTAAGCAGCCTGATCTTCAAAGCATTTTCTTGGTAGCAATGAAAGATTTTTGCTGAAATAATTGCTACATATGCAGTTTTAAAATTTATAAAATTTGAAATTTTATAAAACTAATCACAACTTTTGTTTTGATTTGCAGTTTTTCTTTTCTTAAGTAAATCATCTAACTTGTCCCATTAACCTTGTGTCTTGCCAAAATAGAAAAATGTTAATCTTATGCTTATTTCTTGTGTGTTTGTATTACTTATATACTTAGATGTAACCACATAACTGATACAGAAACTGTTCTTTTGAAATGATTTTGCATCAATGTAATCAAAATACAATGCTACAATTTTTTGATTCATGCATTAGCTAAACTAAGATGTGATTAGATGAATAACACTAGATCAGGAAACTAGTCTTATCATGAGTTTAAATAGTATTGGTTGATCATTTATTTTACATTTGTTTTTCTATCTACACTTAAAACTAGAAATTATCAGTAAAAAGAATATTACCCAATGATTATCTGGTATACACAATTGAGATTGCTCAAAGTTTGTGCTTTATATAAATGGATTAGCCTTTGTGGAAATTATTTTCAGAAAAGATGAAAAGGTGAATTTTAGTGAAAAATTATTTTTAATAAGCCATATTACATGAAAACAACTTCTGTTTTCTATAAATGTATTTGAGCTTTCCAAAAGTTATTGTTCAGCCAGTAAAGTCATGTATAAACAAAGTTTGGTTTTAGTTATTTTACTAGGCACTCAAAATTTCTGTGAAGCTAAAATTTAAAACATTTTGATACAAAATTTTTATATTATTCTAAATGGCACTTTTGTTATGGTATTTATGAAAGTTTTGAAATTTCTAAAATTGATTTTTATTGTATTTTGACTGAGTTTAAACAAATTGTTATTGATTAATTATACAGGGTGCGATGAGTAAATTCTCAACATTTTATAGTTTTAATTTCACGCATATATATTGTTTATTTTTTTATTTTGTTGACTGCACAATATAGTAGGGTCAGTTGGGCATCATCTGTAAGAAAAATAGCACCATGACACAATTCACTCCACTAGAAATTTGGAAACAGCATGCTGTACTGCTTAGCATTTGTGCTGGAAGCTCCAATACAAACATTTCAGAGTGTTTTGAGTGTCAAGGGGAGAACAGTGCAGAGGATTAAGAAAGAGTTGAATGAGTCTAATGGTGATTACGAAGAGACAGCACCTTGGAAAACTGATCATTCTGATAAGAAAAGAACTCCTGAATTTGGTGATGGCCTCAGACTCAACACATTCTTACATCAAGTGCCTTGAGGAAGTATTGCTGCCCTGGGACAAGAGGGTGGCTGCTGGAAGACCTTATGTCTGGCAACAGGACTCTGCACCATGTCACACAAGCAGGAGAACCCAGTCATGGCTGTCGGACAATTTCTGCGACCACATCACCCCTTATAGGGGTGCAGTTGAGCGAGAGATCAACAAAACTCCTTGTAACACCAAAGATGAACTGAAAGCAAAGATTATGGCAGCATTCACAAACTTAAACAAGGAGACTATCCAGAAGAGTTGCAGGAGATTCCAAAGTCGGTTGAAAGCAATCACCATTTTATTAAATAAATTTACTATTTCATATTCAAGATGTTTTTTTTGTAATTTCAGTAAATATATCTGTTAAAATGAGATGTCAGTGTTATTCTCATTCTTGCATAATTTAGACGACAATTTATCCATCGAACCCTGTATATGGTTAGGTAATACTATTACCTAGATTAGTATGTTTACATAATTGTAATAGCACAATTGACAGTTTTCTATATTCTTGTAACAATATGTAAATATTTAAGTATTCAGAATGTTTGTATTTATTCGCTTAGATTTATCACTTTGTTAAGGAATATTGTTTGATTCACTTCCAGTTAAAGATTTTCATAGTGTTCCTAACAAAATAATGAAGAAAAATGATTGCAAATTTTTGTCTTTTATGTCTTGAAAAATTAACCACAATGCAAAATTAAAATACTTTGATAAATTCATCAGAATTACCTGACTTCTTGTATCATATCAAGATTTCTGAGTACAGGACTTTTGCCAAGTCTGAAACATGTTTAAATTTACTTGGGGAAATTATTGCAATTTGGGTTTGTGTAGGTTTTTGTATTATCAAAAATCATATAATTGATTTAAAAGTGATTTTTTTTTTTTTTTTTTTTTTTTTTTTTTTGTTGTACTAACTCTACTCAAATACTTGTATTTCTGTGTTAAAAAAAATATAGAATATAATATTTCTATATAATGTCTTTTTTATTTATTTAAATGTTACTTCTATACAAAAAAACTTTTTTTGAATGATGCATGCATCCTAAACTTTTCTCTTTATTTAGATTCCACAGTCAGCAGCCTGTCAAGCAGTTGGGGTAACTATACACATTGGATATATTTTGACTGTCGTTTTTTCTTTCTAAGGATCACTCTACTTGAACATGTGCAATTTTGTCTGCCTATAATAATGATGTTTAGATTTAGCCATATTGTAGAAATGTATTTCTCAGATGCTCTTCTAATAACATATTTGGAGTTTTCATTGTGTATAAAAATTTCATAAAAATTTTTGACAGGAGAAAGCACATTTTTCTTTGAACCTTGTGCAGTATAGGTATTTTCAAAGTTTTTGTCTCATTTGTTATAAAGGTACATGTACACATTAATATTTCAATATCCTTTTGCCTATTATTCTAGTCCTGAGTTTTGTGGCTATTTAGTTTGTTCTTTTATATCAAAAACTAAATATTAATATTTTTGTAATATGGTAAGCATTGATTTTGATTAAAACAAACTTTTCATCCTCCAGAATTTGTAGTTACATAGTGTTTGCTCTTTCTCTTACTCACGTGCACACACAGCTGAAAATATCCAAGTACATTTTATATTACAATACAAGTTGCTTTGGATCTATAATATTGAATATAGATAATATGCTTCCAATTAATTTATACTTGTGTATCTAATATTTTAAATGTGGGAAGTTAATTTAAAATGTTTTTGCTGGAGTAAGAGAAGCATTCCACCCATTGGAAATGAAGTTATTACTCTTTAATATAATTGATTATATATTCATTATTCAAAATATTAAAATTTTTCTTATTCATTTGTGCATAGTTCAATAAAATTTTATGACTTCTTCAGTATGTTGAATTTTTATGGCCATACAAAAATCAAATTAGTTGATTTTTAATTCCACAAATTCATACTTTTAGCAACATTCTGCATTTCTACTTAATTCACTTTGTCCCCAGTAAAGAATACATGAAGGACTAATATATAAATAAACTGAAAAAAAGTCACAATTTTCTTTTCTTTTTTTTTTCTTTTTTTTTCTAAAATTTGTTTAACATGTTTCACACTCAAAATATATAATCTTTTCTGTTGGACAAGAATATTTTTAATTGTATATATTGATATTTATAAGTTGAGGTTTCTAATAAAACCTATTAAACTAAAATTAAATGTCTTGAAATAGAAATACTAGTTTAATGTATACTGTTATATGATATTAATTTAAAATTAAAACTTAATCATTTCACCCTGAGCAAAACAATAAAGCCACTTGCATGCAAGTGGTTACTGAGAGTGAAAGAAAATGAGACATTAGTGGGCAGAAAGGACAAGAAAAAAAAAAAAACAGGATTCAAAACAACAGAAGATAGGGATTGACATTACATTTAAATTTTGGGAGATCTTAGTTGACAGGAAAGCAGGAAGCCAGAAGAGAGTTCCACAGTTGAGAAGTGCAAGAGAATAGAACTTGCAGTTAATCTAGCTATTTCAACAATAAAATGATGAGACCTAGCTGCCACTCCAGTAATATGCTTAAATTTACGAAGGTACTAAAGAGGAAATTATTTAAATATAACTAACATTGTAAGACAAAAATAAAAGAAAACCTATTTCGCCATTCCACTATCCCAATTTAACCTTAGTTACCTCCAATTTTAGTTTAGTAAACAAAAGATTTTGCACATTATTAATGCAGCTACTAAGACTAAAGTTCAAGAAACTTCATAAAAAGATAGGTACAGAGTTAATTTCTAATACCCAAACAGTTGATCATGTGCTGTTTATATATCATACATATATCAATGTGGAAAAAAAAAAGAAATGATCATAGCACTGATTTATGTAATAAATTGTAATCTATTGATATTGTAGCAGATACAAAAATTAATGTTACTTTTGATGTATTTATGCTGTTGTGAAACTAGTTGGATCTAATTTAGAAAAATTTGCTAAAATGGTAGAATATACAAACTACATTCTGCCAACACAATTTGCCAGGTTTCTTTTCAAACTCCAATCACCAACCAAATAGGAATTTTTTGTTTTGAATTCCTCTAAGCTCTTCAAAAATACTTTGCTTTAATTATACTGCAGTTTTTGAATTCCTACTCTTCTAAAAGACATGGTTTCAAACTTTCCTATGTCAGGGGACTTAGTGTCAGTTCTCTTTTAACACCTTAATAGTCCTAGTAAATGGTTTAGCAAAATGCAAAAATTGTGCTACTCTTTCACTTAATTAAAATTTGAAAATCCCAACTTTTAAGTAAGAATAAATTCATTCAGTACAATAGCTTTATTTTTGCATTTGTTTTTCTAATCTTAAATTTCAGCTATTGAACTCTTTTTGTTCCAGTTTAGTCTTAATCTCTCAACTTTCTTCAGAGGTAGTTAATAATACTCAACATATAGGATTAAGTCATCACAATATTTCCAGTGTGTATATCTGTTATAAACATTCAAAATATCCTAGTCAAACTTGATCATCTTTGAAAATTCCAGTTGTCAGAAAAAATATTAAATGATGACTTGTTAGGTCTGCTTTTATGCTAAACAATTTATATTCAAGTTTTCTGCAATGCAAGAAAATGTAGATAAAAAAAAATAGGTAAATGCATGCTATCATGTATAAATGATAATCATCCATTTATGTATGATTGGAAATATCCTTAATTAAAGAATGAAATCTTTGTTTTATTTAAAAATCTGAATTCATGGTCTCTTTCAGGTAAATCTATCAGTTCTATGATCTCACCTTATTGATTTTATGTAACTCTGTTTTAGGCCACAGACTTTTGTCAAAAAAAGAGGAATCTTTTTGTGCCTTTTGTATAGATTTATACATTTCTACTTTGTAATTTTTACTGCCATAACTGTTTTAATCTTCAGTGAATTTGTAGATATTTTTGGCAACAAAGGAGGTTTTTTTTTTTTTATACCTTTTATTAACAACCATTTTTAAAAATTTTTTTTTTACTCATTTTGTACAAAGATTTTATGTATTTATTAAAAATTGTTGTTTTAGCTATGTATAACTTCTTTTTTTTTTCATTTTTTTTTTCTAACTTTGACCTTTTCAAACTGAACTTTTGATGAAGGTGGTATTTCTGGTAAATATACCATTTAAAAAATTTTTTTTTTTTTTTTAATTTTTTTTTTGCAAAATGATGGCAAAATTAAAATCCATGTGTTTGAAATTTTTAAATTTACAAATTTTTTTGCGACAATTTCATCTTAACACATATTTCATTCATTATTCATCTTAAAAGTTTGTATCAAATATTTTCTTCCTTTGTTCAACAAGTTCTTTGAGACTTAAACATATTTCTTTGTAACATCAGTTTTAGTAAGAATTTTCATCTTTCATTTCCAATACCATAATTCTTTTTAATATTGTAGGAATACTTTATTTTTCTACCTCCATAGCTTTACTCTCAACCTATAAGTTTTTTGTTTAGCTTCTGTTAACCCATTTTCCATTTTTTATAGCATTGTCTACTCTGACTTGATTTGTCATGCTTATGTTATCAGTTGCTTGTCCCACTAACTGATCCCAGGTTTCCTTCTCTTTTCTTTTCAAGTTGGCCTATTCTCTAGCTGCCCTCGGGAGTCACCAAAACAAAAATTTCAAGGTTAGTTACAATGGTCCAAAATGATTACCAAAAAATATTAACCTTTCTTTTATGTAGAAAGTTTTTTTCTGTTGTATTTTAAATATACACTTTTAGTTATTTTGCCATTTTATTTTTTAATTTGATCTAATTAGAAATTTCTAACTCCTAAATTCCTTTAATACTCTTTTATAAAAATTTGAAAGATTTAAGCAATTTAAAGAAGTTATTTTTAAGATTGGTAAGATTGAAATGTTATTAAAATATTTAATATTCTGAATAAGTCTTTTGTTTGATCCAGCCATTGCCTGGCCAGAAAAGCTAGTTTGTCAATGTTATCATGTATTCATTGAACTTTTCATTCAGATTTCACCCCTCATGAAACAATTTTTTGGCATCTCATATTCCTCTTTATGAGTCATCTATTTTTCATTTCTTTGAATATGGGAATCTATTTCTTTACAGTTTAAAGATTTTTCATTTGCACTTATTAAGGCATAATGGAATTAACTGGACAAGGCCAATATTTGAAATAAAAAATATTACTTGATTATTGTTGTTTTTATATTGTAAGATGTATAATCTCACATACTTAAACCAGAATTATAATTCAAAAAGCAATGTCAAATTTGTAACTTTACCAAGTTTTTTTTCCCCGATACTAATATTGTTTACTTGCGCTAAGAATAAATTTTGATCCATATATTCAAATTATAGCTCTTTTTTTTTTTCTTTTTAATCTCTAATTTATTTTCAGTTGAAATGATCTCTTCTCTATATTTCTTTATCACTATGCAGTCATTTGGAAAGGAGAGTTATAAAAAAAGATCAAATTTGCTTTTTATTGTTGTTGTCTTTGTCTGTATATGTTTTTATAATGCACATATGCTTAAAGCATGTCCACACTTTGTAATGAGTACTACATAAATAATGAACTAGACTTGATTAATGAAGTAGTCTTTTTACATTTAATGATTTTAGTCAGTAGTCAATAAGCTTGCATTTGCTTAGGATTCTATTTCTCAATAACAAACTATTAGATGACTCTTAATTTTTCTCTCCTTTTTACAATAACTTTCAATGATTATCAGAGAAATTAATGGTCCTTTTCAGATTAAAAAAAATAGATTTGGAAGGGTCTGTTCATTTCTGTACCGGCCTATTTTTTTCTTCTTCACATCTCGTACCTTCAGTTCTAAACTAAAAGCTTCTAACATTTACCTTTCACACAATTTAAATCAACCTAAATCACATCAAATTTATATGCATATTATAATTGGATACCTGAAACATTTTCTTTTACTGTTACATAAACTTGTAGTTTATATATATATATATATATATATATATATATATATATATATATTTTTTTTTACTAGATTTAAGGTGCATCAATGCCTCTAGAGCTTAGTTTTTATATCAGCTATTATGATAAATGAAAGCAGAAGTAACTTGTTACCCACTTAATAAATGTATAATATTAAAATAGTCTGAATTACTTCCAATATTCTTCCTAAGGCAGAACCAGAGCAAAAGTGAGTTATGATGCTATATATGCATTCATAATTGGAGAGCGGTGACTTAATGGTTAACATGACAGAATGGAATCAGTGGAACACTGGAACAGTTTACATTCACTTTGCATCCACTTCTAGAAGTAGAAAGCTTTTTAGCACTGTAAGGCAGTCCATTTTGGGTATAGAACTAGCATCTCGGTCCTATAAAATTCATTTGCTACTGAAACTACCACAGCATCATTTAAGGATTGCAGCTCTATTCTCCACAAGGAATCTGAAATACTAAAAAAAAAAAAAACATGCATTTGTAATTACCACTACTGTTCATATACACATAAATTCATCTATTATTGTAAAATTAGAACCTGTGTTTATTAGCTGATGGTTGATATTATCAGCTATTTTTTAGTTAGACTGTACCAAAAATACATTTTGGTTAATGAAAAAGGTCTCTTCCTCCATTTTTGACTTCATATAAAAAAGAAATTATAATAAAATAAATTTAAAAAAAATATGTATTTTCCTTTTGTTTCTATTTTTCTTTTTTGTATTTATCAGAACACTAACACAAGCTTAACAGAATTGTTATTTTATTATTACAACTTTTGGGCTCCTTAACTAAATCTTTGTAATATTTTTATCATTTGAAACAATTTTTTTGTTTTAATATTTTAATTCTTTTTATCATAACTTAATGAATTTCACACTCATATTATGCTCACAAACTTTTTTTATTTTTCTTATATATTAAATGCTACAGCATTATTAACATTATTAAGTATAAGAAATCGTTAAATAACAATAACATGGAATGATTGAGGTTAAATGATCACATGTTTGATTACAAATAAGCTTACTGTATTTTTCTTTTTTTTTTTTAATATATGTTTTTAAAATAACTTCAAATTTAAAAATTTCTTAAATTTGTGAATATATTCTCAAGAGAAATGCAATTTCATAACAAATAAAATAAAAATTAATCAGTTAATTTACAATAACCAATAACTATCTGAGTAGGTAAGGTAGGTAATGAAAGTTATAAAGGTTAATTGTTAAATATAAAATGATTCATTGTAAGTTTGTAACTTAATACATTATATTCAATGTATAATTCAATAAATGGTTATTTCTATGTTGGGCATAATTCTCCCATGCTTCTCCCATGCTGTTTTTATACAACAATATACATCACAATATCTTTTTTATGCTGTGAATTGCCATATTTGATAACTAATGATAAAAGGTGGCAAAAATTCTGTCTTTGCTATATTTATCTTGCATTTGTGATATAAGGAGGAAATTGTATGAGAAATACAATAAAATTAAATATACTTTTTAGTTTTAACTTCCCCCTCATTTTCTTGTGGAAATTTTTGTATACCCTCTGCTATTGGTGTATAACTGAAATTTCTTTTGAAAATATTCTAAAATATTCTTAGTGATATAGCTTTTATTGACAGTTTACTTTAAGAGTTGACTGCCTACCCTGACTGATTAATCATGGGGTTTTTGTGTATGAATATGAGGGATACTGAAAAGTTCTGACTGACCCACATGTCAAAATTTGATCAAACACCAGATTTTGGGGAATAGAGTACTTTCTGGACAAGCCAAAGGATTTTCAGTGTCCCTTCCTTTACGTGTATGTATGTATGTATGTATATATATATATATATATATATATATATAATTTTTAGATGGGCAACAAAACAAATTTGTTCTGCATTTTTCTTTTTCTGCCTGTGTTAGATAAGCGTCAATTTTGTTTACTTTTCTTATTTACAAGCACAACACTTATATTTGTTCTTTTAAATCCTATGGAAAACATTCAGAAATTCTCTCTGCACCACTTATTCATTTCAGTGTTAGCACAATTTTACATGAGATGGAAAAGCAGCAGGAAGGAAACTACTTACTTTTCCTTTTCAGTTTTAATGTGACTGATTTCTTGTTTTTAAGCATACATAATCATAGGGATATGTCTTGATCCCATGTAATCACATGGGCATGCTTGTAAAAGATGCACCAGCTTTTGATATAAATTTTATGTTTTTATAAATTAATAAAACTCCACAATTTTTTATGTTGTGTTCATTCTGTTATTTTCACTGCATGCTTATATTTTAGGCATTAAATTACTGCTATCTTGTATGTAACAAAAAAATAAAGGTATCACAAACGACATTACATACTGAAATGTATGATTTGTTTTATATTTCATTCTTATTTTATTTACATTGATTCCTGTTATGTTTTTCTTCTACTCTTTGCTAATTTACTTCATAGAAATTTCTATCACAAAGCAAAAAATGCTTCTTCTTTTTTTTTCCTCTAATGAAATGCTAAAGTATTTTGAATTTAGTAGATTTAATAGATTAATTATATATTAGCAATTTAAAATATTCTAACAGAATTTTTTAATTTATAAGCAAAAATTTTCTTTGACAGTTTTTAATGCTATATTTGTTGTGGATCTTTAAAAAAAATTCAAACTAAAGACATAATATAAATTAAATGCATGTAATGGTGGTCAAAGATTAAATTGAATAGTACATTATAAAAAATAAATTTCAGACAATCCATCCCCTAAATCAGGCATGTCCAAAGTCTGGCCTGGGGCCCAATTATGGCCTGTGGTCAAATTTCACATGCCCCCATCCTCTATGGTAAAATGTATCACTTATGGCCCACCAGGATTGTCAATCAAAGTATGTAAAGTACACACAATGCAATTTCATGTTTTACCAAAAGATGGCAGCAACACTGTGTGGCTTTGAACCTGACCTTGACCTTTTCCTGACAATTTCTAAAATCATTGTCTTTGAACAAGACTTGGATTACATACTGCAGTCCAGATCTTGGTATCACCCTTCACATTAGTGCAGTCAAGTTATTTGTTTTGGTTATCTGAGATGAATAAATTCTAAAATTTTACTGAATTAAATTTGTTTTGTGTTGGTCAAAATCAGTTATAAATATATTCAAACACTTGGACTTGTCATTTTGTTTTCAACTTAATAAGATGAATGTTGGTATTATGTTCCTATTCATATGTTTTTAACTTAAAAGTTGACAGACAACATTGATTACCAATAATATGTAATGTTTAAGATTAACCTGAGATATAGCTTCCTGGAAGTTCTTTTTCTCAGACATATTTTACTTCATTTTATATGGGCTTCATATGGGCTGAATGATTTTGGTAAGACCTGTTTAAATTTGTCATCCTTGTAAAGCAATGAAAATAGGCCATTTGTAATTCATTTTAATGGTTCAAAGAATGCCAAGCAGAATGGTGGGCCCTCATCCATATTCACTTCATCGAATCTGACCCTCTTTGAAAAAATTTTGGACACCCCTGCCCTAAATTCTGGTCTGTAAAGGATATGTATTATCTCATTAACCATTGATAAGATTTGCCCTTCCTCTCCACTGTATAATTTGTAGCCATGATTGGCAAAGATGTAGCATGTTAGATTTCACACAAGAGTTTACAATGAATACATTTAATTGTAAAGGCATGTTTAGCAACATAGTTTGAACAAAGTATGTTGGTAATGAAATGATTGAATGAAAATATTGTGTGTGCAAACAACCAGCAAGCATCCAAAATTCAGTTTTGGTCTTTCTACTCCAACTTTTTTGTGTGGTTTGGGCGTATTCAGATGAGTTGAGAGAAAAAAAAAAAAAAACTTTTGCAATATTATTCTCTCTACATTTGAATGAAACGAGATTTCTTGTCCACAGAAGTCAGTATTGTAGAAAAATTTTTTTTTTTTTTTTTTTACACCTTACCACTAAGATAAAAAAAATCATTGGTCTATCCCAAAGCATGTATATTGTTACAGTTTGCTGAACAGTAGGAATCTTGTTCTTTGGATGCTTGTTGGTTACTTTATATAGTCCCTGTTCAAAGTCTATAGTTATGATATACTCAAGCTATGAGATATGTATTCTTTTCATTGTCATCTCATGTTATTCTCATGATAATGCCACCATGATATTTTATTCTCAAGTCATGTTGCTGAATATATTACAATTAAGGAAAATGTGAGAAGTAGGTTTTAATGAGATTTGTTGTTGTTTTGAAAATTTTCGAAACTGATGTTTTACAGAAGAGTACTAAATCCCTATATTGTGTAAGTAACACTATTTAGCCTATGAGATTGTCATTGTAATTTAAAAAAAAAAAAAAATAAACAAATTGTTAAAAGAAAATTTACATGAAATGATTGCACTATTAAACTTGTAAATAGATATCCTATTTAAATGTTTGTATTTCATTTATTTAACATTAAGTCTAGTATTAAGGGGTGCTGAAAAAAGTTTTGATGTTTGGTCATTTAGTCAGATTTTAGGAAGTGGGTTGCACCGAAAACTTTTCAGTACCCCTGTGTAGCATTTTTTATCTCTGGAAAATAAATTTCAAATACAAGTTCATTATGCTTGCAGATTTCATTTTGAGGAAGAGGATTTTAATTTCTATAGTTTAAAACAATTGATTTAGTTACTTTATTACTTCAAAAAGTAAATACTTCCATCTATCTCCAAAAACGGTTGAAAACCTTTAGTTGGCTGTGTAAAAAAAAGATAGATAAATTTTCAACTACTTTTAAATAATCTTTCTTTGTAATGGTATTTCTTCAAATTTAGGATTTAAACTTTTTTCTGGTTCAAAGTTCTAACTAATGAGTCTCAATTGGACATTTTAAAATTTTAATGAGATTTTAGTAGTTATCTCTTCTGAAGTATTCATTTTAAATTTAGTTTTTATTTTTCTAATTTAATTAGATTTCTTTGCATTTAGTTTTATTCTAACAAAGCTTCATATTTCTTATGAATAATGCATTTGTAACTAAAATTATGCACAGCAGCATATGTTATCTTGAATTTATAAGCAGTGATGAGATAGACTACAAATAAGAATAATGATAATGTGTCTACTTTAATAAAATATAAATTATAGTACAGTATTTAGACTTTTTTTTTTTTTTTTTTAAATAACTGGTAACTTTAGCCCATGATATCCTCACTCATACAATTGCCTCTTGGTCTTACATGGTTGTAAGCAAATCTCGGTAGAAAAACCTGAAGATTTTCTAATTTAATTATAACAAATAGAACATACATAATTAAAAAGGGAAAGCAACTTTTAGATTAATGTGAAAGTGAAAAAAAAAAAAAAACAAGAAACAAAGAGCTAACCAGGTTATCACTTCTCACTCATCAAAATTTGATCATGGAAAGTAAAAATTTTGTGCACAACTGACTAAAATGGAAACCGGAAAAAGAAGATACAAGTGTGTCGATAATATATAAAGACAGCTATATTTTTATAAATAAATGGGTGCTGCTTTAGCATGTGTCCTACCAATCAGTTTCTGCTTTAGTGTGTATCTTATCACCAGATTTGTATCCTTCATTATTAAAGCATTGTCCTAACTTATTTTTCAACATGTTAAAAGACATTCAGAATGTTTTTATTTAAAGGATTCAAATATCTTGTTTTATAGTTTTTAGTTAAATTTTTTATTTTATAAGTTTATTTTAAATTTTATAATACAGCAATAAATGGCATCCCTCCTTCTGTTTTTGCTTTTCCTCTTACGGGACATAATGTAGGGTACAAATGTGGTGGCAGGATATACTGATCGCTAGGACACACACTAAGCAGCACCAATAAATGTTCCAGTCCTAACAATCATTCCTTCTGTTTGCATAAAGGAAGGTTGTCTTGAATTGATAAAAATAGTTGAATAGGTGATCCCACTTGCAGATTTGTTTTAATGAAAATAGTATTTTCATTAAATCACAACAACCTTCCTTATGTAAACTGAAGGAATGGTTGTCAGGACTGAATGAGATTTGTATATTATTGATATGCATGTATTTGCTGCTGCTGCTTCTTTTTTTTTTTTTTTCCATTTTGCTTGTGCACAAAAATTTTACTTTCCTTGATGAGTGAGAAGTGATAACTGGTTAGCGCATTATATTATTTGTTTTCTCTTTTGCATTAACGTAGACGTTTTCCTCTTTGTCTCTTTTTAATTATGTCCTTTCTTCTTGCTATAATTAAATTTTGTACCCTTAATAAGATTTTCAAACAGTCCAATTTGTAATGTATAACTTTTTGTACATTAGTGTACTCTCACTTTGACTGAAAGAGGTTTATGTGATAATCAGTGGCAGTCAAATTCTTTACATATATATTTCGTAATACAGTGTTGATTACCTACAAGGATAATTTAGAATAATTCATGGAGTAAAGGATAACTCAATGAGTTTATAGCCTAACAGATATTAGCTGAATTTTGATATTAAATTTCCACTATGTATTTGATTTATGTGAGTAATGGAGAAGCATTGGGCTAAGAAGAGTATTGATATTGTTGAAAAATAAATGTAAAATAATTTTATTTTTTATTTACTATTTTTATCATTACATGATGCATTTAGTACCTACATATGTTGCATCATGTAATTTTGAAAATTCTCTTATAGCATGAAATTTTAAAACTTTAATCTCTTTTAATGAATTAGTAACACCTGAGTAATACTCGAGAACTATTGTATGCAACATATATTAAAGGAAAGTCAAAGAATATATCAGTTGAAATGTGACCAAAGCAGCAATTATGAAAATATGAATAATTTATAGAATAGTGGAAGTACTAATTTTAAGAACTTCAAAGAACTGTCATTTTTTTTCTTTAATATCTAATGGACAAGGTATCTCTTTAGGTAATGACTATAGTTAGAAGCATTAATTTGTTGATTTTGTCAACCTAAAGAATTGTTTGATAGTATAATAATTCTGGAAATCCTCAGGAGACTCAGTTTCAAATTTTTTTTTTTTTTTTTTTAAAGGGAAATGATTAATTAGTATTAACATCTTGTCCTAGGATGATGTCTTGTTTAAACAAAAAAAAAAAAAAGATTTGCTTCAATCATAAGCAATTTACTCTGTAAATATAAATATATTGGTCATATGTAATCATTAAATTTTTTTAATCTTCATTTCTATCTTAATTCCTTCAATTTTAATTATTATTTGTAGTTTGTATCCCACTGCTAATTTATCTCCTACCTTTTACTTTTTGTGTACCCTGTCTATGTCATTCATTGTCTCCAGAATGTTTCATTCCATTGTATAATACTTGGACTGCTCTACTTTACCTTACAATATAGCCTTTTTATTTTAGGCAGTTCTTCCTTATAATTAACTATTTTATAACTATAATATTCAAATTCACATTGTATGGTCCTTTTTAACATTTTATCTATTTTAGGAAAATCCTTAATGTGTTCCACAATATTAATAGTATGCTATAATAATATAATGTTAAAATAAAACATGTTGAGCATATTGTGAGTAGTTATTTTACAGTATGCTAAAGGATATCAGAAATTGTTTCTTACCTGTTGCACTTAAAAAAAGATGTTAATATGAAGTCACTTAAAATAGAAATAATAAAGCTTTGAAATTCATCTAAAATAATTTGAAGCAGAATTCAATAGAAATCCATCATTAAGATCATATAGTAATATTAATGATAAAAACTAATAAATATATCCCCTCATAAAAATTTGTTAACTGCAATTGGAGACATTCTTTTCTATACTCAAATGATTCTGTTGTGGTAAAGAATATTTAATGAAATCTTTGCCAAGAGAAACAGCAGACTTCTCAGAGTAAAATTGTTAAAATACAAAATTAGTTATTTAGAACTTTCTGTTCATCCCTTCCAGGTTTCCAACACCGGGTCAACATTGATGATCTTAGCCGGAATTCATCAGAACCAGGTGAGTGTTAAAAAAAAAAAAATTAAACAAGGTACTAAAACTAAATTAGAGGTAAATTACTTGGAAGCCAGTTAAATCAGTTACAAAGAGATTCATATGCACATACTTCAGAAAACTTATTTCTATTTTCTGTTATTCTGTAAGGAATTGATGAAAATTCTTGGTTGTTGAGTAACAGAATTAACCAACTTTACTCCTTTTCACCATGCCAGACTGTAAAGGTATTCAATTCTCCAAGCTTAGAAATGTGTTTTTCTATCTCTTTGGGGTTTTTCTTGTTTTCCAAATAACTTATTTTTAATATTCAAAAATTTTAAAACATTATGCAGTACACTAAATTAAAAAAAAATATATATATAAATATATTTTAGCATTAATATTGACAAAATGATTTTTTTTTTCTTTTTTTTTTTTTTTTGCTAATATAGCCTGCTTATTGTTGAAGTTGTGACTCCTTGGTGCACAGCATGTTGTCTAAGGTGTAGTGTCTTTGATAAACATGAAACTCTTTATCATACATAATTAGAAATATTGATATAAAATGTTGAGAAACTGCTTGCTTTGGAAGGACAAGAATGAGAACAAATATCAGGTTGTGAAATAATATTCAAACTTTTGATTAACTACTAATTGTTAGTGGTGCTTTATAAGCCCTGCCCCAGATAAATTTCCTTATTTAGGCTAATTCCTCAAAAATGATTTTTACTAACAATTGAAAACTAATGAATTACTTATATTTTGTGCTTGTTAACTTCTCTGGATCATAAAATGGCATCATGTGAAAAAGTGCTTATTCATAGTATAGTGAACAATTGTTTTTCTTAAAAGCAGAAGGGAATTCAATCCTCACTAATGCCTGATAATCTAAACATTCTGTTGGATAAGGATAGCCAGAAAACTTACAAATTGGAACTTCTATAAACTTATGTTATATAATTTCTCTAGTATTGAACCTCATACTAAATTATACTTAAAATGAAAAAATGACATTAAAGTATTTGTAATAAAAAAGATTATTAAAAATAATGTGCTATGTCACTTGTAACCATAACAGGAAAGTTGGGTTTATTTTGAATCTTAGTTAAATAAAATGGTACAAATTTTTTTATGGATCTAGAAAAGTAGAGAAATTAATACACAAGATGTACAAAGCAAATTTGATAAAAATGATTTACATTGTAACAGACAATTGTAAATATTTGATGGCTGTTTTTTGTATGCTGCAGATTATTCTTTTAATTGATAGTAAAAAAAAAAAAAAAATAATTTTAAACTTTTCTCTTCCTGCCTTCTCTGGACTTTATTCCTTCATCCTTATTTGACATTATTGTTTAGACCATGAAAACCTCATATTCATCACTAATTCACAATAATCAAAGTTCCATTGAAACTTATGATGATCATCTAACATCATCTCATTTATTTGGCCTCACTCTGAACAATTCTTTTGAATTTGCTATACCTAAAACATTCTCTTTTTATTGCATACTTAGCAATAAAACAAATTTTATATATCAATTATTTTATTTTTGTGAATTATTCATTAAAGGATTGATGGCTTAGCTCATCTACTTAAGATGCTTTGTCTTTTGATAGTGATAATGGTGATTTAGCTAAGAAATAAACAGAATCATATTCATTATTAACTGTTTCCATTTTCTTTTTCAATATTTCCTTGTGTGTATTTGATGTTTTTTTCTGAAGCTCTTTATCTATTTGTGGCTATTACCACATGAAATAAGTCCAAGCATCAAAGTTTAGTAGTATCATGAGATGCTGCATCATAAAAATGATTTGATGAACATCATTGGGCATTCTACCATAGATGCATTTTCACAAATGTGTGGATGTTTGATTTTTTTTCTGCTCAGATGAATGTAAATACCTAAATTAAAAAAACAAAAGAAAAGGAGCTGCAAAAATGTTTTGCTTTTAAACACATGGATTTAAATTTTCCAGAAAAATATTTTATTTTTAATTTTTCTTTTTACACGTTATTTATATTGCAAAATGTTATGAAACGTGGAACTTGTTTTTTACCATTGTAACTTTGAAATTTTTGATGGACCTAATTTCCTCTCCATTTTAATGCAAAAAATTAGAGCTAGACATCAAAGTAAATCTGTTAATTCTCATTGAATGAGAATATATATTTCACATAATGAAATGTAACTAATTTACAATATCATATGGGCTTATATTATAAATTTTCTTTTCAGCTGGAAACTCTTCCATGAGTAAAATCTTTCGAGTAATTTTTTTCTTTTTAATTTCTAAAGAAGTATCCTACATGTTTGTATTTTAAATGTCATTATTTTTTATATTTAAGTTTCACATGAAGAAACAGCAGTAGTGACAATATTTCTTTTTGGTACATTCCAAAATTTACCAAAAATTGGAAATGTTTATAAAATATGGTAAATAGAAGCTTAAAACTTATTAGACAGCAATTTAATCAGTAGACAAGTAGGGGTGGGTGAAACAAGGACATAGTGAATATATGATGATTTTTTTTTTTTTTTAATTGGTATCTCCATGCAAGTAAGTAAGATACAAGGGTTTACAGGGTGTGAAAGAATTAGGAATAGAAACATTAATAATAAACAAGAAGAGGAAAGAATAATCAGGAGGCCAGTAGATAGCAATTAACATTGCATTTAAATTTTTGCAGATTAAATTTGGATGGAAAGCATGGAACCTGAAGGTTGAAGATAAAAATAGAACTTGGAACAAAGTAGGAAAAGTGGATAATTTTTTATTGACTGATTTACAAGGAAAAAAGTTAATGAAAAAGTTAGGGTATATACCTATAATGGCTAATGTCATACTTCTGAACTGAAAGAAAGTTGCTAGGAATTTATCAGTTATGGTTTCAAGAAGGGACAAAAGGTATAGTCATGAAGAAATCTAGTGGGATAAAGTGTTTGTTCATTCTTTGCTAATATTTATCCTTTTTGATTAAATGTAAATTTTGATTTTGCTTGCTTTAAGAAAATGCATACTGAAGGTTGCAAATATCTTGTACTTTTTTCAGTCATTAAATCTACAATTCCACAATAAGCAACATAACAATTTCCAAAGAATTTATATGAGAATATTTAGTCAGCATTTATGTTTTTTTTTTTAATTTGAAGTGGTAGAATTTTTAACAATATTTTTTCTTGTATATTACTGCATTTTATGCTGGTATTATCAATGGGACCAGTATTTTCTTATTTTTGGTGAGACATAACAATATTAAAAAAAATAGTCTCAATGCCAAATGAAATATAAAGTCAATATAAAAAAATAATTCTCAACAAGATTATAAATTATTATTTTTGTCTTGTTTCATTTGATAAATTTTTGATCATCCACAAGTTTCATAAGTTGAATTTAGTGCTTTGTTATGAAATTGAATATAATTCTATCCATTATTCATCTCTTTAAAATCAATTACTTTCTTTTTAATTTAACAGTCTTCTTGTGAAACAAATTTGGTGAGAAGTAAATATAATAAAGTCTTCAGTTTTGAATGTAGTAATTTGAGAAATAAAACAACAGAAAGATTACTGAATGCTTGAGAAAATTTAATAATAAATCTGTATTAAAATTAAGTCTCAGACAGTTGATTATATATATATATATATATATATATATATATATATATATATACATACATACATCAAACCACCTGTGACCTATTTAGTTTCATGTAGAGTTTGTGAAAGTAGAAATATTTTAAAAATACATTTATTTGCAGTTATTGAAGTTGCTTTCAACATTAAAAAAAATGTCTGTTTGATGAAAGTTGAAATAAAAATATTTAAAATATTGTTTGTTTAAAGAAAGCTGAAATATAAATAAGCACGCATGCAATCATGGGAAGGTGGAAAGAGAGAGCATTTTTTTTCTCCATTTCCTTCTCTCCCCCCGCTTCCTACACGATAATAAATTCATATCTTTCTTTCACCCACACTCTATATATGACTTCTGGCAAACACACAAGCAATGTTCAAAGACTTTTATAATAATAAAGATATATATATGTAGAAGAACATCTCTTGGTTCCTATTTAGTATTGAAATTTTGTTAGACTTATGACAGAAAGCTTTTAGTATTACATATAAAATCCAGTTAAATGCTCTAATTTGTTTGGTTTATGAATTATGGAATTTGTGATCGAGTGTTTTTCTTTACTTTCATGAAAGCTCACAAATCCAGCACTTGGTTTTTAATGTTTTTTCTTTTGTTCTATCTTTGAGATGTATGCATAGAAGTAACACGGTTATTATTTTAGCCAAATATTCAACTTGCATAACACCAGTTCATATTATATATATATAGCATTGCTCTTTAAATAGACAAGTATTTAAAAAAGAAAAATAGCATTTTAATTTACACGCAACTTAATAATATTGTTTACCATAATAGAAGATTTAAACTGCCAATATTTCCATTGTTGGTATTTATGTTACAAGTGTGTTGGCTGATCATTGATAGTAACTGTGATAAACTTTAAACCTCTTATTATGGCTATGCAACCCAGTCATTAAATGTTTAGGCTACCTTTAAACACAGATAAACTAGTATTTTGGTGTTCACAATTAAAATACAATTACACCTTCTCTCTTGCAACATACACCACTTGAAAGAAAAGTGTGTAGATTTTAAGAGGTTTCTACATTTTAGATGAATTTTTGAGATTGTATTAACTTGTGATTATGAGATATTTTGTGTAATTTGCTACCTTTTTGCATATTTGTATGTGCAGTCATAATAACCATTGACTGTGTTGTCAGTTATATTCTAACCTAATCTGTCTCTAGTTCATTCTTTTAAATATGTAGGTTTCTAAATTTTTAAAATTATATTTGCTATATGTTCTTGATTATTTATTAATGGTCTATTAATACGGCATAATTTCCTGTTCAATTTTTATGGTGAAAAGGTTGTAATGTGCTATGCAAGTATGTTCTGCCTACTCTAATAGAGATTGAACTATCAATTACATTCTAATA